GGACTCTAACATGATTCATACATGGGGGAAATGCATTCGTTGGGTCTATACTCTGCACAGTATCGTCGGATTCGAGGAGACTTGATTTTGGTGTACCAACTATTACACAGTCCAAACCACCCTTGTCGCCGACGTCTGACGTTGTCATCAAACGTTCATCTACGGGGACATCCATTCAAGTTGGNACTGCGCCAGGGTGTTATCAACAACACTCAAACATGTCGGTCTACTTAAACGTGTTTTCGGTCGTTATTTTCACGTCTGTTGTCAGCATACATCCGGCCGCATATTGAGTAAGCCCTCTAAACTTGGAATCCATAGTTACAACGTGATCATAAGATTCTGGAGCGTCCACAAAGGCTCGCCACAAAGATGGTCAAAGGACTCTAGCATAATTCATACATGAGGAGACTGCAGTCGTTGGGTCTATACTCCGCTCAGTATCGTCGAATTCGAGGAGACTTGATTTTAGTGTACCAATTATTATACAACCCAAACCACTCTTGTCGACGACTTCTGACGTTGTCATCAAACGTCCATCTACGGGGACATCCATTCAAGTTAGTACTCCAAAAATCTCGACTGGACTGCCGACGTCATGCGTTCGCCGTCAGAGCGTGCACTGCCTGGAATTCCCTACCATCTCATGTTGTATGTGCCGAGACGATTGATTATTTCAAGGTAAAACTTGACGAATCATTAACACACATTGCATTCCAACATCCATGAGAACACAAAACACAACCAAATGCAGCATATGGAATTTTGTTCACCACTGTTACAGTCTTATCACCCTGTGGGAGAAGAAAAATATCTGCTTGTAAGTAATGCCCATAATAAAACTTTGATTGTTGACATCCTTCGTAATGGTTAAGGCACACTTGCGATGCTAATTACATTCATCGGAGGAAAACTCAATAATCGAGAAGGGTCAAGGAAAATCGGCCACAGTTACTTAAACGAAAGCAGTGAGGTTACCTCAGGTTAAATCGTTACTTGCCTGGTAGAAACGGGACACTCGACAAACAACCACTTACCTGTAACGATAATCAGCAAGGTTCCTCCTAACAACTCAAGGTTAGTTTGGTTACGGACGGCTGCAACAGCTTTTGCTTACTGCAGTTTCAATTATGTGCCCCAATGGGTAATGGTTCACACATTACAATTCACATGATCCGAGAGCGATTACATTGCACACAACTATGATACTGGCCTTTGTCCCATGATGAAAACAACTGACTATACGAAGTGTAATTTCCTAAAGGTTAATGGTCCATGAATAATAACCCCGGAAAGTAGTGGTGAGATGAGCGAGGTGTGATATCCCCAATTAACTTGAAAAGACGGGTTGAGCTATAGCGTGGATAGAAAAAATGAAAAACGGTTTGACCAGCAGCCTGGTGCCGGGTTCGTTTATCAGATGGGTCAACGGATTCGCAATGTTCAAGATTAAAAATGAAAGTATCGAAAACACGTTGTGAAACACCTGGCAGTCAGTCAAAGGTTTTGCAAAAGGGAATGAAAACGGATTCTATGCAATGAGACAAGTAGGAGTGGGGTACGGATTTCTTTCCCGAGACGACCTGAGACGAACAAGGCGACAGCTACAACTCGAAGTACGGTCTGAAGCTGACCAAAATGACGACTCTAAGATAACCCAATCAAAGTATGAATCGAACGTTCGAGTCGAATCAGCAGGAATAGCACAAAAATAAAGATAATGGGGAAAAATGATATCTTACCCACCTAAGAAAACCATTCATCTTCACTTCATTTTAATAAACTCCGTGCCAAAAGAGATTCCCATCGTATCACTTGCCTCGCTCGACCCGGATTGGACCATTTTCCCGAGATTCGTGACTTTTAAGCTAAAGCACAAGGTCTCCAATGACTGACTGGAAAAATGCATACAAACAGACGAGTTTATTCTCATAATTTTCTCTGAATCGACCCCAAACCACAATTTTATCTGAAGGATTTTCATCAGGGTCATACTTTATTGGACTAAGCCGGGATTGTTTTCTCGTGGTTACCCCTCCGCATGCTCAACTAATTTAGCCGCGATTGACGTTCAAATCGTTGGGCTACAACGAACGGGGAGTGAAGTTAGCTGATATCTAGTGGAAGAGATCGAGGACAAATCAATAACTTGAATAGTATATCGTCCTCTTGTGCTTCTTGGATTCGAATATACATAAAAGCCCGTCTGCGTGATCTGTTTGTTAGCTCGGTCAGCCAACGTTTGTCTATCAGATTATAAGAGGGCCAATGATTCCCAAACATTGAATTGTTCTCCGAGAATAGAGTAATTACTCTGATTCCAAGCACAAATAGTGAGCTCCAAATGGGACCAGCGTTTAGTGTTTAGCTGTTTCAGACCAGTTATGGGGATACAAAAGAAGTTCTGTAGACTCGGTAGGGATTGTGTATTAGAAACCAGAGGACCTTTTACACGGAATCATTCGATTAAAGTTGATCTGTCGTTCAGTTAGACGATCGGAAAGGAGGAGACAAACGTGTGAAATCAAGCCTATATACAGGCATATTTATTAGTCGACAGATTTGGCGCATGCCATGGATGAAGTATCCGACTGGAGGTAAGAAATTACTAGGGCCGCATGATTTTATAAGAACAGTATGATTTATCACAGGTGAAACATGCTCAAAATGGGATTCAAAACTTACCGGTATTCGAACGGTTGAGTTAGACATATTTGCTGAGGCGGCCAAAGCATGGAACCGATTGAAATCGACCGAAGCATGAGTTTTGGCTTCCTGTTGACCACGGTCCGTAGCCAAACCATCTGTAACGCTAACGCCGGCCTGTTTAGCTAGCAACTTTTCCAGAACAGAAGCGGCCGTTTGATTTAATGGCGGTGTAAGAAGCTGAATGATAACTTGGTCAAACTGGGGATAGTAATAGGAAAAAGGTGCGGAAATGCGTAAACGATTACATTCCAAAAAGCTTTCAGAGGAAAAAATGCACAACTTTATCTAAAGCATCTCATTCAATAAGGTGCTGTATTATGTATGACGAGCCGTAGCTTGCAGTTCGATGGGAATAACGTGTGAAGATCCACTTTCGAACAGGGATTTCTTGAAATTTAATGTGGCAAGAGTAAACGACACAATAAGTACTTTTTGCGTGACGAGAGCGGTAGTGATCAATTAGTTTAAATCACGAATTCACTATCTCGCTATGATGGCAGTCACTTATTTAACCGGGTAATTGTTAGAACTTGTGCCACTTTACGGATCACACGCAACCAATCAAGGTTCTTATGCATGCCAAGGTGGAACAGATGCTTGGCATAAGGTTCGTTTGGGAAGTAAAGTGAGAATCTATTAGAGGCACGTAATGACCTTATGGGATTGCACTACCAACCTCAGAGTTCTTCTGTTATCACTTCATTTGAGGGGAAGCGAAGAAAACTGAAGATTTTCGTTTTCACATTGGTGCATTCAGGGCTTTGAGAATGGCCACACATGATTAAAAATTGATCATCTGTCATGAAATTTGATGAGATACGTTTGATCAGTAGTATTTTTTCCTATATTACACTATCATTCTGAGTTCTGGCATTTCATGACACTTTCCCTCAACAACTGAAAATTCACTCCTCACATACCTAATCTGTTTCGACTTGATTGATGGACGATCGAAAGAAATGACGATTTTGCACCAAACACGATCATCATCATCATCGTACAGCGAGATACAGTGAAGCGAACTTCAATGATCGCTGCCAAGCTCTCAATGTACACAAATCAAGTGATAAAGCACAATGTGGAAAGGGATCGGGACTAATTGGAGTGAGGCAAAGAAAAAGAGCCTCTATGGTCAACACACAGAGCACACAATCAAACTCTACGTACATACCGTTTCAAGCATTCTAGCCTGATAAGAAATGACAACAAGAACGCCGGTTGATAACCGTATCCTTCAGTGTCTCCAGCCAACCAGTTGTAGAGTCTTTCGGACCCCAATTTGGAAGACGGGAAACACCGAATGTACCTAATCGCTCTGCGCATTTCTTTATGCCTCGTCTCCACGTCATCTGTTGAACTCCACGCGGTCTCCTCCAACCTGGAGCTGCAACTGCGAATAAGGATCGGCGCGACCGACGATGACTGGGCATGCGCAATACGTGCCCTAACCACCGAAGCCGACCGATCTGAATTCGATGGGACAACGAATTCTCTATAGAATCATTACCAAACACGAGACGCCTCACCTCAGAGTTGCTTACAAGCTCGCTCCATCCAACCCGAGCCAAACTGCGTAAACAACTACAGTCGAATACTTCAAGACAATGAATATCCTTCACGCGCAAATTAGGGTTCTCGCAACCATAGAGCATAACTGACCGCACACTGGCGCAGTATGCATGACCTTTCAGTTTCAACGAAACATCGCATCTGCACCAAAGATGTTTCAATCCTGCGTAAGTTGCTCGAGCCTTGGAAATGCGGACGGCTACTTCATTGACTACGCTACCGTCATTTGAAACGCAGCTACCTAAGTAGGTGAAACATTCCACTACAGCTAATTCTTGACCATCAAGCAACAGCGCTGGGGTAGACGACACCCAGTCTTGTAGCATCACTTTACACTTTGAAGGTGCAAAGCGTAAGCTGAAAGGAGATACAGAGCTTGCTAGTCTGCCAAGAGCGCATTGTGCATCCTCCATAGATTCGAACAGGCATATGATGTCATCGCATAGCTTTTCTCCAGCTGCCCATTCAATACCTACTTTGGAGACCACTCAGTGCGTTCTCCAGTACTTCGTCTGCGACGAAATTGAACAGGAATGGCGAAATAGGGCACCCTTGACGAACACCGCTCTTGGTTTTGAACGATTTACTTAGCCCACCGTAGACCTTTACGTTACCAGAAGTATGTAGATACAGCGACCGCCATAGGTTTA